AGAGGTGCTGTAATTTACAAGGCGCCTAGTATGTGGAGAGTGTGTGGTAACTTTAGAGTTCTTTATTCCAATATGTATTTTTATATCATGAGCATATACAAAGTACTGGGTCAATGAAATCGTGGTTTGTTTTTTTTTTATAATTTAGAGACTACACCTTCCACTTGTGTTTAATTTTGAATGAGTGAACAAGAATGCAATAAGTAGAAATGAATGCCTCCCTTTCACTTCCCCAGCACCCATAACTGGTCACACCTTAAGTCTCAGAGAAATCGTTAGCTAAACCCTTTTGGGAGGTGAGCTGCCAGCAAGTGATGAGCCAGAGTTGTCTTCTGGAATGGGGTAGCACAAGGGAGTGTGGGGTGGGTGGCAGGAGAGAGGAAGGTGCCTCAGTGGGTTTCCCTTACTTGGTAGGAGTTCAATGGGCTGACCCTTCCTGTGACACAGTGCCCTGTGCCCGCCCTTAATAATGGTCGGTCGTTACAACTCTGTTTACAGCAGAGCCAGATGTGGTCTAAGGGGGAAAGAGTAGCATTTTTGGTCCCTGTTCACCGAGGCCTCCAGAGCAACTTAGCTGAACCACATCTAGCACGTGGCATGCCGGGGGGTGAGTTAGGCGGGAGGGTTCCTCCCTGCCATCCTGGGTGGGGTTGTTAGCATTGGTTTGTGGCAGGAACACAGTAGGCAGGGAAGCTATGGAGCAACCAGCAAGACAGAGTTGCATTGCTGTGGGGTGTCTGAAAGGTATCCAAGCTTTGCCCAGCAAATAGTCTTCAGATGTGAATTAATAGATGGCTCAATACAGCAGAGTAGTAAGTAAAGTAAATGCATTTTGGAACTGGGGACTCTCTTTTGAGAGTCGGAAGAGATCCTAGAAATTACTGGAAGGCCGTGGAAGCTAGTGGCTCGCCTTGGGTCACCCAGTGGCTCGGAGGCAGAGCTGAGGCCAGACTGCAGGGCTCCAGCTCCTGGTACGGAGCTTTCCCATGGGCGCTGCTCACTCTGTTCACCAATTAAGCCTACACACGTTTGCTTGGGGGCCTACGATGTGCCAGGCACCGTGCTGGGGTAGGGAATGCACAGATGAATGAAATGAGAGCCCTCTTCTCAGGGCACTCATGATTTAGTTGGAGGAGACAGGAACGTGAGCTGGCTATTTCATAAAATACAGTAAGATGCCTCCTTGAAAGGAGGACCCTCCTGATGCACGCGGTCCAGGAGACCGTCTGTTTTTTTTAAAGAACCAACACGAGGCAAAACCCCGGTTGGGCCTTTGGATCCTGCCTTTGCTCAGACCTCAGAGGACGGCATCCAGGGTGGAGATAAGGCAACAAGGATGAAAGTCGACGAGCAGAGGGAGATGACACAGCCTGAGGCTTCCACCCTGATGTGGGTGGTGTGTTTATTAGAGGAGCTCAAAACCCTTGTTTCCTCTGAAGAGTTGAGACCAGGCGCCACCCCCTTTCTGTCTTCCAGGAATGTCCGTTTATGATTTCCTCTGTGCGTTGTGTGACAGTAGGAGCTGGTCTCCCATTTGTATTCGCAGTCCTGTGTTGGAGTGTCTTTCCTTCACTGTGTTAGATCTAGCTTTGACGGTGACAGCCGCCATCCATGGATGTAAAGAATTCAGAAGAGGGCTGTAGACAGAAATCTGGACTGTTTTTAGGAGACTTCATGACAGCACCGTTCTTTTCCTCCACAAAAAGGATTCTGTGATTGATGGACAGACGTCCTAGGCAGTCTCTCTGCCCATTGCCCTTGTGATCTGTTGAGAGATTGAATGAAACTAAGATTGAAAAAAACCCAAATCACATCCCTGTATATTGTTGGGGTTGATTTGAGCAAAAGCCAGTTATAAAAAGACGCGTTTGAGGCAATCATGTTTGAGTTAATTAGCAGCAATAATTGTAGCAGTTTTTAATGATATTGTGATTATGTTTTTAAAAACAGTTATTTTTTAGAAATGCCAACTGATGTGTATATATTTGTAGATTAAATATATGTCTTTAAAATGTACTTTTATTTTTTAATGGGTGGGGAGACAGATTTAGGTAAAACAAGACGGGCTGTAAGTTGATAAGTATTGAAACTAGGTGATATCCATGGGGGGGGGTGGTTGTGCCATTCTGTTTAGTTTTACATATATTCAATAATTTCCTATTAAAGCCATTTATCTAATGAATGCTACCGAGCAGCTACCGCTTGTCAGGTTCAAGGCTGGCTGTTTTATGTGCAGCCTCTTATTCTGTTCTTACAACATCTCCATAAGTGGGTTGTAGTACGCTGATTTCTCAGATGAAAAGGCTGTAACATAAAGGAAAGTGAATTCCACATGTCACACGGTCAGTGGCAGAGCTGGGAACTGAACCCTGATCTTCTTCTCTAAGTTTTATTTGAAGTATAACACATATCCAGAAATGTGCACAAATCATATTTGTACAATTCAATGAATTTTTATGGGACCACATCAAATAACCTAGACTAACGTGGAAAAAAAAAAAAACAGAGTGTTGGCAGCATCCCCAAAGCCACCCCGTGACCTTGCCTATCACAGCCCTCCTCAGAGGTGACCACTGTTTTGACTTCTAGCACCCCCGATGAATTTTTTGCATATATTTTGAACTTCATGTAAGTGGACTCATGCTCTGGTGTGTGCCTTCTTTTTCCTCACATTGTGTGTGTGAAATTCATCCACGGGGATGCCTCAAACGGGTCTTTCTCGTTCACTGTTGTGTATTTCATGGTAGAAATATGTCAGAATGTGTCCGTTCCATTATCGGTGGAATTGGGAGGGTTTCAGCTTTCGGGTTGTTATGAGTAGCGAATTTATGGATGTCGTGGTACATACACATCCTTGAATGGGCAGCAGGATGGATTTCCATTGGATTTATTCCTAGGACAGAATGACAGGGGCACAGGGTAGGCATACGTGAGCCAGGAGCTCCGGGTTTCTTGTTTGTTTGTGTGATCACCCATTTCTCCCTAAATAGATGAAGAAATTAACTGCTTTATGCGCTGAGCTGCGTAACACTGGGGAATAACGTAGGCTCCTGAAAGGCTCTGAGGTAGGATCAGGACTGGGGTTTGAGCCTGAAATATTCTGGTCCAGCACAGATGAACCCCAAGTCCCAGTCCAGGCCTTCAGTCCTTCAGGACTCTTCCTTGAAATAAGGTTAATCCCAGAGAAGCACTGCTCTGAAGCGTCCTGCATCCCTGATTGAACGTAACAGCGTGTCACCCCAGGATGCCAAAACCTATATAAAGGCGAGACCTATGAACATGCTTATCTAAACCATCAACGCAAGCAAAGTTTCACAAAGTAAAAATTTTAATAAAGTCCATCTTGACCTTTGGCGTCCTTGAGGATCTGCCAATTGTATAACAGTGGTGTCATTACTGTTTCATTTTGAAGGATGAAAAATAGCAATTGTAATAGCCCGTGATTAACTGTGGGCTTCTCCCCCTGGTAAGGTGGGTCTTTCTCACCCTGCACACCTGTAGCCCCCACACTTTTCTTTCTGGAAGTCCAACCTGGGTGCTGGGAAAGCTTGGTGAAAATGGGTGGCCCACCCTTCACAGCTCCAGGTGACAGTGACTGAGGACGTGGGTGATAAGACAGAAGAAACTGTGAGCGTCAGATACAAATGGGGATGCATTCAACTCCCGTGTCTGCTTATTATTTGACCTGGAAGATACTAATTCTGAAACTTTGCTTCCTTGTCTATAAGAGTAAATACGATGATGTCACTTTTAGAGAAAAATTAGAAACAGTTTAACTAGAAAGGTGACAGAAGTTGATGATAAAATGCTAGATAGCCAGCTAGCTAGATCCCGCACCCAGCGCCGGGCGCGGGCACGCTGCCGCCATCCGGGAAGTGTCAGCTGCTTTCCTTTGTGGTTACCAAATGCGTTTCAAATTGTTACAGTTCTCTCCTGCAACTGCACAGCTTCCAGGGTCTCCAGAAGCCTTTATTCTGCTTCTGACTGTCCTGGATATTATGGGTCATGGAGCAAGATGATGCTTCTGGCTGGTAAAGGGAGCCCTCCTCTTCCGCCTACCATTCCTTTCACTGAAACTGAGCCTGCCCTCCCTTGCACGTTGCATGTAGATAGCCCTGGGGGGTGTGGGGTCCTTCCCAACTCGGCTGTAAATTCTGTAACATTTCGTTTCCTGCGTGGTTGAACCCCACTGATTTGTATTTACGATTGATTGCTAGCCCCACCTCCGTCCAGAATTTCATAATGAAGACACAGGTAGAAAAAGATCAACGCAAATTTGCCTAATGTAAAAGCAGGTGTCAAGCCAAAGAGAGGGAAAGAAAACTAAAGTGAAAACCCCTCCCCGAGGAGAGCAGGAGCAGATACGCCCAGAACGCAGCTCTCCGCCTCCTAACAGCCGGGAGAAAAGGGGGAATCACTGCAGACGGCGGGGTTCTCTTTATCTCGTGGTAGGAGGCCTTCAGGCCAGAAGGACCACTGAAAGGATCTGATACAGGGGTTTTTGTGTAAGGTGGTTTTAAAAGGCAAAGAAAAGAATGATCCCAGAGCAGCGCTCATGACGGGTGCAGAGGCACTCCCCATCCGGCTATTGTTTATATTAGCCTCGTCTCAATTTGACAGCTGCAACAGCTCCTCCCTCGCGATGGAGTTGCTTTGTGGAAAAATCACGTGGAGGTGATTTGGGCTTGGCCCGGCCATTTATCCACTGCGTGCCTTTGGCCCTCGCGCTCTCCGCTTCTGGGCCCCGGGTTTCTTATCTGTTAGATGAGGGGCCCCTTGCAGTTCTAAGAGCCAGTGCTTCCTTTAGTCTCCGTGAGCCCAGCTAAGAACCATCGGGAGGGCTGAGAACCATCACATCGTATGGGTTTCTCCTCCCCATGCCGGCGACAGCCAGTGAAAACAAACAGTAAGAGCAACTTCAGAACAGGGGATGCAGAGGAAGGGACAGGGAGGACACTGTTGCCAAGAAAACCAGGATCATGTTTGTTTTCTGCGGGAGAGGAGAGGGGTGACGCATGCCCGGTCTGTGTCACATGAGCTGCATGCCTTTTCATAGCATCCGTGGTATATGGAATCCACCAGCTCCTCTCCCTGTGGCCTCCTTTCTCCAACTTAGGTTCTTCTGGTCCCATACAGCAGGTGACCAGGCAGCCACTCAGCCCCGTGACTCCTGTGCCCATCAGCCCAAGCGTAGGTTCTCTGAGCTTCCTTGCCCGCCGCTTTACAAGGCAGTAGTTGCCTCCTGTGCCCTGGCTCAACAGACGTGGAGGCGAGCCCGGCACAGCTCAGCGCTTGCACCCTTCGCTGAAGCTCACACATTTCTTTCTGCCCCCTCCCTGTCACCAGAGCACCCCAGACACGCCCACAAACAGGATAAACCTGCAGAACGGCATCCTCGCCTGCCAGAAGACGACGAAGGAAAAAATACCCCTGGTATCTGCAAGGTTCCTGCCTTTTCTGTCAGTGGGGAACGCAAAGGTAAAGTCCCCCACGACGAGCCACCTCTCTCTCCTCCAAGGCCTCGGCTACTCATGTCATCGCTGGGCGATTCCAAGGTCGCCGCTTGTTGGTAAACAGGCACCGCCAAAGTGCCTGGTTTCTTTCTACCTGGCAATTCCAGTCATAATTACTGTGAAATTATATAACTGCAAATTATCCTGCCATGTGAGTGATGTAAATAAGTATGTTCTTGTTCGGAGATAATAAATTTGAATGACATGGCTAGCTAATGAGTAGCCACTGGAAATTCACCAGTGTGCTACCAGAGCAGTAACTTTCTCCCACAGAGGGGGGAAGATGGTTAGAGCTGGTTCTGTTTGGTTGAATGAAGGCCTTGGGGGCAGCGTTGATAGTCCCTGTTCTTTCTTTTCTCCTGGTCGGTCCCTGCTGTTTGATGCTGGAAAGGGAGGCTCTGTTGAGTTGGCAGCGAAGGCTCCCTAGAAGGGAAGCAGAACTTGGAGCCAAAGATGAGGAGTCCAGGCTTAGCCACTGATGAGTAGTGTGATTTGGGGGCAGTACTTAATCCTTCTGAGCCTCCATTTCCTCCTCCGTTAAGATGAGAGTGATGCCGGCTGGTGGCGACGCACGCCTCCTGGCGTTGTCGCGAGGGTTAGATTGGGGTCCACACGTGGACGGGCGGTAACCCCTCAGCCCTCTCCAGGGTCCACTGTTATCGCTGACCGAGGCTGGGAGGAAAGCCCCACTTCACAGGCCAGACAACGTCTGTACTCCGAGGGCTGCGTCTGATTCAGCCGGGCGTGAAGCGCTGTCACAGCAGAGACACGGTCACGCTTTGTCGCTTGAGGGTGGCGGATTGAACCCAGCTCTGAACTTTTGCCATTTTTCTAAAGGGGGATTATAACTCCATTTCCATCAGGAAATAAGGGACGATGCTTCAGATGCGTGAGAGGAAGGGATTACACCCGAAGAAATTTAACTCCTGAGAGATTATGTTCTCAGCCCTTGCCTTTAGCTGAGAAATAAATCAGCCAAGAGTAAACAGTCCAGTAACTACTCCAGCCGTGCGACAGGAGGGCTCTGGCCTGGCAGCTTCGCTGGACAGTCAACTTTGCAGTCTTTCTCCCGGATAATTCTCTTTAAGGGTGCCTACTATACCCAGGGACGAAGGTAGGCCAGCACCCAGCAGTTTCCAAGGAGTGCCTACACCAGGCTTGGAGGATACAGTTTGGCCACAAAAGGCCACTTTCCCTAAGACAGAAAACCAGTGCCACCACCCCCAGCTTGCTTTCTGATGCACGTGAGGGCTGCACCTTGACAAAGGGAAAACTGCTTTCGGGAGATGATAGATTTATATTCCAAAGTACTGCCTAACTTGTAACCATAGTAACAAACAAAGCTATTACGTAAAATGGCTTCACCATGTGAAAGCAGTAATTATATTAACCAGATGGGAGGAAAAAGGAGAGGGAAGTCTGATCAATGTGGAAGGCACCAGTAAATTCGATTGAAAAAATGCATGACGTTTCCCTAAATTACATCTCTTTGGGGGACGGGGCGGGAGCCCACGAGAGAGGCGCCGGGATCAAGCTGGGGAGAGGCCCCACCAGGTGGCAGCACGCAGAAGCTGTCGAAGCAGCTCTTCTGGTGACGGTTTTTGGGCTCCGGAATCTTAATACTTCTTCAAGCGCCAGCCCCTCCCCTCACCAATTCAGTGGGGAATTTCCCTGTCAACACTAACAATGTGGAAATGCCCCAAATTAGACTTTATTAAAGAGCATGTTGGTTGAGAAACACTCTAGTCGCCGTAAGCAGCGTGAGCTGAATGGAACATCAGCATGATCTGATGAGGCTTTGAGCGTTTGATAGAGATCAGGGCTCCCCGTGCACTTAACCCCGGAGTTTCCACCCAGATCGCTCCCTCGGAACTCTTGGTGCTCAAACGAATGTGGTATATGTAGCCTGGGCATTGGGGTTTGTTCATATCCTCCCACTGATCTAAATGATGTTTGCAAGGGTCGGATGGATAGGAAGCTGTTTATTAAGATGGAGGGGATCCGGATTCGTCATGGTTGGTATCTTTGGGGGCAAAAGGAGTTGGAGACTGACTTTCTCCTCAACAGCTTTTGCCTTGGTCCTGGGGGCAGGTCGCTGGTTTATTACTCCACCTAGAAAATAACAGCTGTGTAGCGCAGAAAGTGTCGCCCTGAGGTTTCAGACTGTTGACGCGCTTGTCATAGGATGTCGAGGACCCTTCCCTTCCTTCTCGTGCACCGTAAATCTCAGTGAAGAGGCCGCCTGTAATATCGCTGGCCAGTCAGGGCTGTTCCTTTACAAGGCCGGGAAGATTACACAACACAGATACATCTGAGGGAATCTGAATATCTAGCGAGATCTTGTGTAATTTGACTCAATCAGTCAAACAACACATCCAGGGAAGGCCCTGAGAAAAATGTGAAGTAGGCAAAAGTGCCAGTCCTTCCCCGGCACCTCCCTCCCCTCCCCTCCCCCAGTGCCCCACCCAGTGGATATTAAATCTCTCTCTCCTTCCACTGGAATGGAGATGTCTCGGTGAATGAAATAATGGATTAATGAGAGAAAGAACCCCCCACACACACCCTTCGCTTCATGTGATAGACAGGACACTCCGAGCGTGATCTCATTCAGTTTTCACAGCACGTTTGTACAGAAGCCATTACTGTCTCCATTTTATAAAAGAAGAAACCAAGGCTTCAAGAAGTTAAATGTCTTGGGCTTCATCCCGTAGCTAGTAAATTACAGAATGGGATTTGAACCCACATCCATGTGAGCCGGAACTCTTAATGCTACCTTAAGCTGCTTCCTTCTCTGCTGCTTAGAGCTGAAGTTTTCTCGCTTCTCTGTCCAATAGGGAGCCAGTAGACACCTGCAGCTATTTAAATTTAAACCTAAATTAGTTTAAATCATGTAAAGTTAAATTTTCAGTTCCTGAATCACACTGTCTTTCAAGTACTTTGTGTGTGTGTGTATAGATAGAGAGACCTACAGATACAGGTGGCTACTGACTACTATGTCAGGCAATGCAGAAAGTAGAGCTTTTTCATTGTCATAGAAAGTTCTACAGTGCTTAGAAATAATCTGTCAAGTCTTACAGATGAGGAGCTAAGGGCAGGAAGGACGAGTGATTTCCCCAGCAGCCAGCCCTCCCTTGCTGGACCCCTCCCCCCGCCAGTGGTGAAACAGGGACTAGAACCTGGGCTTCCTGGTGCTGAACTCTGGCAGCCTAGACCAAACCTGCCACTCAGAACCATCCTCCGACGTTGAATAAAGGAAGCCTGGGGGCTGTGGCTCAGTGGTAGAGCCCATGCTTAGCGTGTACAAGGTTCTGGGTTCAATCCCCAGTACCTCCATTAAAAATAAATAAATAAACCTCATTATGCCCCCCCCAGCAAAATTTTTTAAATGAATAATTTTTTTTTTAAGGGCAGACCGAACACAAACCTGGGAGGCTCTGCGTTGTCTGTGCTGGGCAGCCAGGGTAGCCATAGGGAGGAGACTTCGAATGCTGCCATTCAAAGCTCCAGAAGGAACTCTGCAAGCCCCCGGGTTATTGCTGCATAGGCTGAGTTGCAAAGGTGCTTGTAACAGTAAGGACGCATCTCTGCGGAGAAGCCTGTGCTCCACCGGCAAAATCAGTGCTGCCTGGGCACTTCCTCCAGGGCCAGCGCTGTGAAGGTGTGTGTCCTCCCTCAGGGGACGGCTGGGCTGTGGTCAGACTGCTTCTTGGTCCAGAAGTGTCAGTGCTTGTGATCTGGGATGCAGCTCGGGAAACGTGTTAGCGCATCTTCTGGTCCACCGTGAGGAGAGCAGGCTACAGCGATGAGTAAGACTGGTCCCTGCCCTGTGGGTCTCCAAATCCAGAGGGATGCTAGTGTCAGATACATGGTGGACTGGGGAGAGCGTTAGCCTTAGAGTTACATAGGTCTGAGTTCAAGTTCTGACGTGGCCACTTCCTAGCTGGGTGACCCTGGGTATAATATGCAGTCTCTTTGATCCTTCCCTCCTCAGTAGTAAAGTCACAATGGCCATAACCATCAGGTAGGTTCTGTTTTCATTACTGAAATAAAAGATGGGAGTACCAGATCCGTGGCTCAGAGCAGGTGCCAAAGGAAGCATTAGTCCCCTTACCTCCCCTTCATCCTGCTTCTTTCTGGATGTCCCGCCAGCTCACAGAGTCCCCTCACATTTCCAGGGTCCTTCAGAAGGTGGACACTCACTTTAGGATGCCTGAGATTCCGAGTCTTCATGGCACTTATTTTCTAAATGGTGGGACTCCCAGGCCTTGGTTTGCACGGGCTGGCTTATTTCCCATTTGTTAATCGTGTTCATGGATCACGTCCCAGATGAATGAGATGTTCGCTGGAAAATTCATTCCAGGACACTTGTGTTTTTTAGAGCACAAAGGGGAAAAAATATGCACATTTTATGGGGAAAGAAGCCAGCCAGACTATGAAATATTCATTCACATCACAAGTATTTACTAAGAGCTTTCTGCATTCTGGGTGCTGTGCTAAGCACTGGGGATACAATAGTGGATGTGACAGACAACATTCAAATCGCGAAGACGTTCCATAAGCCACAAATAGGAAGCACATCTTTATATTTCTTGTTGTGGGTACAGCTCTGACTGTTGATGTTTGTAGGGGGGGGAGTGGTTGCCTTAACTTTCCATATCACAGCTGTAAAGTTGTAAAGGTTTTATCTTTCGCTAGGAGGCTGCATTCCCCTGGTGGTCTCGGTGGACAAGCCCCTGCCCCAAAGCCTGCAGCCCTTTCTCTTGCAGTCCAGCGTCGCCATTTACATTTGGTGCTGCTTGAGTCCAGAACAATTTCTTAGTTCAACAACTGATCACAAATCGTTCCCTGGTCATGTAAAGTCTGGCGAATTAGCGCAGCTGCCTGCAGAAGGAAATGTTTGCTCTGCGTGGGAGCCCCTGTTTGTTTTCATGGTCCTTTCTTCATCAGTGGAGTACAGATCGTCCT